ATAGTGTGATGACCAAAACTGGATGCAGTACTTTAGGTGTGGTCTTACTAAGGCTTTATATAGTGGTATTAGTACCTCCCTTGATCTTGATTGTATCCCTCTGTTAATGCAATTTAGGATTGCATTGGCTTTTTTGGCTGCTGCACTCCTGGCTCATATTTAGCTGGTTGTCCACTAAGACTCCAAGATCCCTCTCACAGCTACTGCTATTAAGCCTGTTGGATAAATTCCTCTAGTTGCTAATGTCTGTGCTAGATTACTCGTACCCCACCTTTACAGGAGCCTCTGCTATAGATAATCCCTTCCTGCAGTGACTTTATCAAGATATTTCAGCTCTCCATCTGCCTTCACTACCCTCTTGCATGCTCGATGAGTCTGCAAATTTGGCAGAAAGGAACCGTTGATTCTCTTTTAGCGTCCAGGCCTGAATTTATTACACAAATATAATACAGGTAGTCCTCGAGTTACAACCACCACTGAGTCTGAAAATTCATGTTGCTAAGTGGAACATTTGCTAAGTGAATTTCGCCCTATTTTGCAACTTTTCTTGCCACAGTTGTTAAGCGAATCTGGATTCCCCATTGACTTTCCTTGTCAGAAGGTTGGCCCTGGGCCACTGCCATCGTCATAAGAATGAGTCAGTTGCCAGGCGCCTGGATTTTGATCACATGACCATGGAAATGGCTGCAACTGGTTGTAAGTGTGCAAAGCGGTCATAAGTCACTTTTTCAGTGCTGTTGTAACTTTGAATGGTCCCTAAATGAACTGTTGTCAATGACTACCTGTCGACATAAATAAAGTAGAAGACCTGAGGCATCCTACCCTAATCCAATCGTCACACCTCCACTAATATTTCCAGTTCACGGTTTTCCCATTCAAAATGCAACAGGAGACGGAGAACTCTCAAACTTACACGACACAGTCTTGCTCTTCTTCGGCTTGGAAGTGGTATGTTCTGTTATCTGCAAAAAAAGAAAAAAAGAAGAAATAATAATAGAATCCCCTGAAGATAAGAAATGAATAAACAGCTGTATAACTATTTTATATTGTTATGTTTGTCTTGTTTTTTTCTTTTATTGGTGTTCCCACCCCCTATTTTTGGTTCACCGACAAATGCGCGCTCGGCAAAAGCGCGCTGACAAAACCACGGCTAGAAAACAGCGAGGACGAAACCGCGCCCACAGAAGCGTGCCGATAAGTGCGCGCCAATGAAAGTGCACCATCAAGATACAACGCGAGACAACGTAATACCCTAACCCTAATCCTAACCCTAACCCTTACCTTAACCCTAATCGCACTTTCATCGGCGCACATTTATCGGCGCGCATCTGTGGGCGCAATTTCATCCTCGCTGCTTTCTCGCTGCGGTTTTGTCAGCGCGCTTTTGACGTGCGCGCATTTGATGGGTCACGCTATTTTTAAAGGTAAAAATGTTTAATAAAAATGATTTTTTTTAAAAAAA